TTTTCCTCCCCAATCTGATTATCGTAAATTCTAATAATGCAGCTTTACTTCTTATAGAAAGCAAAAGTAAGCTATTTCATGCTCATAATTTTGATAAAGTTTAAAAGACCCTGACATCTTTATCATTTCCTATTATCTTTATCCTGTTACTATTTTATTTAAAAAAGCAACCACCATTGAATGTTTATTGTGTGTTGGGCACTTGTCAAAATAAGACCTTTGCTTGCATTATTTAGTCCTTGGAATGTCTCTGGGGTCTGGGAATTAGTGTTCCTACTTTATAGGTGAGTAAACTTAGGCTTGGAGATACTGTATAACTCAGTCAATGATACTCAGTCACCAAGCACCAATCTGATGTGGTTACTAGGTCTGTCAGATTGTGCTTTACTTACCCCTCCACTTTCAGCAAGTTTTTCTTATTATTCCCAACTATAATATTTACCTTTTTCTAAAAATAAGGATCTAACTAAGTATCAGTGGTTTAAATAAATCTGTAATACAGCTTGAAATGAACTATTCATTGTAGGCCTAAAGAAACTTGCAGTAATGATTTTCAAAGGACATTTGTTTCTTTTCAGCTAGTCCTATGACCTTTCCCTTATCCTTTAGTATTTTGTAACTAGACTTAGAGCCAATGTCCTAATATTTAGTCTCAACACAAAAGATGTCACTTTTTTTTGGCAAAGAGAAAGATTAGTAGCTATCTAATAGGCAATTCCATTTAATTAAAAATTATGGAAAAATATATTAAATGGCATTACACACATTAACATTGTTATGCAGTCATCACTACCATCCATCTCCAGAACTCTTTTTATCTTTACAAAACTGAAAGTCTATACCCATCAAACAAAAACTCTCTGCTGCTTCTCCCTAGCCTCTAACATCCACCATGTACTTTCTGTCCTACAAATTTGACTTTTTTAGGTACCTCATATAAGTGGACTCATGAAGAGTTAGTCTATGACTGACTTATTTCACTTAGCACCATGTTCTCAAGTTCATCCACGTTATGGGATGTGTCAGAATTTCCTTTCTTTGAAAGGCCAAACAACTCTCCAATGTATGTGTATGCCACATTTTGCTTGTTGAGTCATGTGTCAAGGGACACTTGGTTTGCTTTTAGATTTTTGGATATTGTGAGTAATGCTGCTCTAAAGATAGGTGGGCAGATATTTAAGTCTCTAGTTTCAATTCTTTGGGCTATATACCCAGAAGTGGAATTTATGGGTCATTTGCAAATTTTCTTTTTGAAATTTTTTGAGGAACAAACTCCACTTAATTTTAACTAAATAGAATAAAATAATGTTCCATTGCCTAGGGTCCCTGATTTGGTGTATCCCCGAGTATCGGGTAATCCTAGGACTTATATTTGGTATGAGGTCCTGGGTAAAGGGGCTGGGGGTGAGTTGAGGGCCAGAGCTCTGGGATCTAAACTTCCTTAAGTTCTCTACTTAGCTCCCTTAGTCTAGAAGATGCCCATTGATAGCATGGTTTGAGCAGAATTGCAGAAAAGCCACAGGACAGGTACTCCATGGATATCCAGGCTTTTAGTGAGTCTGCATTATTATTAGTTAGAGAGGCATGGAAGCATGATGATTCAGATCCTGGGTTCTAGGGCTAGACTTCCTCAGTTTGACTGTCAGCTCAGCCTTTACTACTTACGCAGTTACTTTACTTCTCTTGCCACAATTTATAAAATAGCTATTTACAAAATAGGTACTGTAATAAAACGTGCTTCATAGGATTATTGAAGGATTAAGTGAGTTAACATATGTATATATGTATGGTTAAAGTTTCTGATTTACAGCTCTCACTAAACATTACACAGTAATAATATTATTTTTAATTTGTATACATTATTATATGGCTTTCCTTAAAACCCTTGGAAATGAGATGACTAAGATTACATTCTGTGAATTAAACTTTTTGGATTGCATGCACCATGAATCAAAAAAGATATGTAACAGCAGTTTAAAGGAATAGGATTTGCTCTCAGGTCAGGTTAGCAGGATTAGATTGAAACTTGATGAAGTGTATTAAAAATCTATAGAAAGTTGATACTAGACACAAAGGGAGTGGATTATAGAGCTTCATGTTGTCTCTTACCGCCTGGGCCCCCAAGCACTGTTCAGGAGACAGGTGCCCTTGCACATATCCCAGTGTTTTATTCCAAGTGGCAGATGCCTGTCTGCACGAAAATGCAGAATCTGTTAGCACCAAACCTTTGAATTATGTAGTGAACGCCTGTGATCCACAAAGCAGCCTTCTGATGATAATCTAGTTTAGAATGGAGCTTATCTACATGGAGAGACTATATAGGCTGGCTCATTTCAGTATTTGCGTACAGATCTGATTTTCTCACTGGAGATCAATCCACTATGAGCTTTCTGCCTTTGCATGCTGATCTTGGGAGCTTTGTAAGTCTGTCTCCTCTGACTATTTCTCCTTGTACTAACTAACTGGGTAGTTAGGAGTATAAATCTGAGAACCAAACCTTGGACTGTGGTAGATTCACCAAGATAATGCTCTCAACCCTTCACCTTCATTGGTTTCTTGGAACAGACCCCAAGTCTTTTTTAGGTCTCTGTATCACTAGCTGCTTTAGGCTTCTGTTTTATTTGGAATTTCCACTTGTATTGTGGTGCTGAAGAAGGGTGGAGGAACCCAACTTCTCCTTCTTTTCCTCAATATCTGGGCCACCTGACTTGACTAAGAACCCATTGTGCAGGGAGCAAAGACCTGATCACTGTCCTGTGAGATCTCTGCAGATTGTGTTTCTTTATTGTATGCCTTCTTATAGCAGACAGAGCTGAAACAAACCTTAAAGAACACAGGGCTGGGGGTGTAGCTCAGTGGCAAAGTACTTGCCTAGCATAGAGAAGAACAAGCTTGGAGTGGGGCTGTTGTTAAGTGGTAGAACATCTGCCTATAATGTGTGAGGCCCTGAGTTCAAACCCCAGTACCCCCAAAGTAGACAAATAAGTCAACTTCTACCTACTATAAAATGGATGTATTGGCTCATATCTCTGGTATTACAGATGAGGAAACAAGCTATATATCTTTTCTTTTTTGAGACAGGGTCTCACTATGTATCCCATGCCCAGCTAAAGTCATATATCATTTATGCTGTCTTAACAATGTCCTGACTATGGCTTGACTATATTGGCTTGGACTTTTGACCTGTTAGTAACATTCTTTTCCCTAACCCAAGTCTTGTCTAACCAGTACAAAAATTTAACTGCTGTGACACTTTTCTTTCCTGTAGTTCTGGCAATATTTCCCCGATGTCCAGGTTCACACTCAGATCATCTGTAGCCTGATGATGTTATCATCCATCTTACCATTTTGGAGATAGATTTCATGGCAACAGATTGACAAATTGGATCTTCTTTGTGTGTGTGTTGTTAGGTTGTTGGAGAATTGAACCCAGGATTTTACACATGTCAATCATGCCTTCCCATGGTTGTAGCTGAGCTATATTCCCAGCCTCTGGATCTTTTTTTTTTTTTTTTTTGCAGTACTGGGGCTTGAACTCAGGGCCTTCACCTTGAGCCACTCTACCAGCCCTATTTTTGTGAAGGGTTTTTTGAGATAGGGTCTCGCGGAACTATCTGTCCTGGCTGACTTAGAACTGCAATCTTCCTTATCTCTGCCTCCTGAGTATCTAGGATTACAACAGGCATGAGCCACTGGTGCCCAGCCCCTGGATCTATTTTTATAATGATTGAAAATAGTAATTTCTATAAAAATTTGCAGGCTAACAATAGAAATTTCTTTTAAAAACTTTTATTTTAATCATAATGTTAATTCTCTTCATAAAACATTTTTTTCTTTCATTTCCTCCTCCTCCTCCTTCTTTATGAAGTATGTGTTTTAATATAATGGAAAACTACCTTATTAGATTAGCATTGCTTTATATATATTAAGAAAATTCAATAACAAGTTGCAAATGAAGGTACATTATAACACACCTTTACATATTTCCAAGAGGTAAGTGAAGCAGCAAATGTGAATTAAACATAAACAAAGTGGTTTCCTTTAATTGGCTTAGAGAGTTAGTCAAGGAGTAGTTTCTAGGAGAAGTCTGATTTAAAAAAGATTATAAGAAAAGGTACAAATATATAATAGAGAAGAGGAAGAGGCCGGAAAAAAGGAAATACATATGCATTGTGCGCTGGGGATCTGTATTAAGCAGGCACTGAGCTAGAGTGGAGAGGGTCATTGAGGAATAGTGGTTGGTGAATTTGTTGAGCTGTAGATTCAACCTCTCTATCCAGCTGCTAGGTCCTAAGGGAAAAGCTAAAGAGAGGAGAGAGAATGTTTGTCCTCCAGGAACTTCCAAGGAACCTTGGAAACCAGTTAAGGGTTGCTTGGGTTTTATGTAGCATGTGATGGAGGGAGTCTTTGGAGAATCTCAGATAGCATCCTGCTTCTATCATCTGCTCAGGAGAGACAGTTCTGAGCTGGAAAGATCAAACTCAGCAGGTGGGTAGGTTTCAAAAATCAAATTTTATAGCTGTATGTAATCAATTAGCAGAAGAACTTTTCCCCCCACATTGTTTTGAATCATTTTAGGAAAAATGGGCTCCCTAAAATCTTCTGTCCAAATTTAACCATTAGAAAGTCACTGGTTTGCTTTTGTGGATAGCACTTAATGTTAGCAACTCCAGGTATCTCACAGCAAATTTTATGCCAAAACCAATCCAGGAAGCTATTTAGTCCATGGGCTTTTTTAGTCAAGGTGATTGACTAATGGCTCCTTTTTGTTGCTCTCACTTTCAAAGTAAAAGGGATCACCTTGTTTATGGCAGCATTTTGGATTACATTAAAAGTAGGATAGCTTTATAATCATTGATATGGTAAATAATTCAGGTTTTGCTTTTATTCTATCAGTTTATCTCCATCTAGTTCAGACCTAAGAGAAAATTTGCAGATTTTTGTTGTCTAATAAGTTCTCTGGCAATCCTTTGGTTTTGTGCGTTCATAAAATGTAAATTTTATTTTTCCCACTTCTTTTTCTTGTTTTTGTCTGCCTCCTGGCCACTCACAGGCCGTTCTGTGATTTCCACTGTCTCCACTGGCCTTCCCGTGGGAGGCTTTCTGAGACTCTTGGTTTCATGGAATGATGGTTGAGGCATATTTAGGTGCCTTACCACATTCCGGGGCTTATGTGGGTTTTGATCCACATGGAGTGGTGGTAGGTCTCTATATGGCACCAGCACAAAAACAACAGGAACCGGGTTCAGGTTGGGAGGCCATTGTCCTCTCATTCCTTCAAAAGACTGTCCAGGAAGGACATTGTTTAAGGGATAGTTCTCTAAAACTGCCTGAGCTTTTGTGTTCTGACTCTCTTTCATCTGGGGAGGAACATCAGTAAAGCAAGGCCTCACTCCTGTTATGGAGCTGATTTCATATGCATTGTGCCTGTCTGCCAGCGCTCTCCCTGCTAAAATGGGCTGGAAAACTGCCGATCCTGAGAGACCACTAACAAAGTTGTCCAGAAGAGAATGCCAACACCCTACCACTTACTGGACTCAACGTGACCCGAGGCCATAAGCTGGCCAGGCTCCGGAGGGCTTCTCGGTTCCATGCTGAGGCAGGAGAGTCACTCCCGGTGTGGTGGAGCTGCGAGAAGTAAATACCGAGAGTGCTGTCTGGGTACATGGTCAAGAAGTTGTACATCTTGCTGATGCAGCAGTGCTCAGCCTCGTTACAAGGGGAGTTGCTGGAATACAGAATGATGTGTCTGATGCTCTTGTGTTTGGTGAGAGCTGAGTCAAGGTAACCGTTCATCTCAAACAGCATTGATTCGGGGTGGGTATGATTCCCAGTGCAATTGCTAGCATGGCCCTTTTGCACCAGGCTACTGGAAGAAGTTTTTAGTTCATAAAACGTGAGGTGTTTTGCTTGAGGATATGGTGTTGGCCCGTGAGGGAATCCAAAGATCTGATGAAATTCTGTGTAAGGAACTTTTGCTTCTTCACCTGTCCAAATATGGTAAGGACAGTTCGTACAATCTAGAGAGAAGCTTAGCCAATAGTAAGGTTTGACTATTGTTCCACCATGTGCTAGGTATTCCTTGTAGAAGGGCTCCATTTCTGGCTTTATTGTCTTCTAGCTGCAGACCTACACAAGGAAGAGAAATTATGTGTAAAACCATTGCTGCGAAAAACTGAAGACAGTGTATTAATTTGTTGAGACTTACCTTTCTTTAAAGGAGATAGATAGCATAGCTATAGTAACATCTTTGATTCTAAAAGACAGTGATGTATATGAATAAATTACAAAGCTCAGGAGTCATTTTTCTTTATTGAGGCTCTGTGAGAGTGGGGAGGAGATGAAAGAGAAATGCAGAACTATCTTGTCCTGTTTCATATATTGCAAATCAGTAGAGCAAATGGGTTAACAGTGCAAGCTCTAGAAACAGACTGCCTGGTTTCAAATCTGGGCTCTGCCATTTGCTAGCTTAGTGGCTTTGGTAAGTTATTTAAGATCCGGGAGCCATAGCTTCCCTGTCTATAAGATGAAGATAACAATAGTATCCACCTCATAAGGCTGTCTTGGGGTTTGAGTAATAGAGTAAATATAAAAAAATTCTCTATGTGCCTGACACATAGTAAGGACTCAATAAATATTAGCTCAGTAGTGATGGTACAAATATCAGGTGATCTAGATGATTTCTGCTTATGAAAGCCCAAAGAGCTGGCCCACACCTCCTGTAACCTAGCTATTTGGGAGGATCTCGGTTCAAGGCTAGCCAGGGCAAATAGTTTAAGAGACTCCATTTCCAAAATAACCAGAACAAAATGGACTGGAAGTGTGGCTTAAGCACTAGAGTGCCTGCTTTACAAGCACAAAGCCCTGAGTTTAAACCCCAGTCCCACCAAAAAAAAAAAAAAAAATGTTCAAAGAAATGAGCAGGGGGTTGGCATTTTGTTCATGATTTCCCCTTTGTCTCTTCCCTGAACAAAGATGTCTGATATATTGTGTAGAGGTTTTAAGTGTGCTTACATTTAAAACTGGCTATCACCATTTTCAGAACTGTATCTCGGGGTCTAGTTTGCTTAATGGTGGAGACTTCTAGAAGTGCCCCTTATGTATTGTTTGGGTGGTGGATACTCGTTCACTGACATTTGAGAGTTTTATTTCCAGTGGGTGGGTCTTGTTGGAGGACTTTTTTTTTTTTTTTGTGGGACTGGGGTTTGAGCTCAGGGCTTCACACTTATAATGCAGGTACTTGCAAAGCAGGTACTCTACCACATGTCCAGTCCATTTTTCTTTGGTTACTTTGGAGTTGAGGTTTCCTGAACTATTGCCTACATTGGTGTCAAACTGCAGTCCTCCTGATCTTAGGCTCCCAAGTAGCTAGGATTATAGACGTGAGCCACCAGCACCTGGCTTATTAGAGGACTTTTGAAAAATTACTATTGTAGGAAGCAAATATGCATTGTTTAGAATATTGCAAATCAGTAGTTTCTGGAATATTAAATCTGAACTGTTGAGCTTTTTAAGTAATTCTTTTTCCTTTAAAAATATTCCTTCAGTCGTCATTGTTCCTAAGCAACTATCTCTGGTATTGTAATAATTTTTAAAATGTTTTAAACTAACTGTTATATAAGCATTATGTGTTACTTATGAAAAAATTTTTGCAATACTGATATATAAAGGAGAAAAAAAACTCATCAGTTTATTTTCCAGTTAACCAGTCTATGGTCTATTCCCTGCAGTCTTTTTGATATTTATATGCACATATACATACACACACATACATACATATATATGTACACATAACATAAAGTCATAGTTGTACCCTACCTTTTCACTTGTGTCATGGCATATATCCATGTTATTAAAAATTCTCCCTAAACACAATATTCATGGCTAATTAGTATTTCAGGTACTTACCTCTTTTAATTATTAGAAGCAATGCTTCTTTGATGAATATTTCTGTAAGTAAATTTCTCCTATCTCTGATTCTCACGTGTAGAATACTGTAATTATAGTATCAGGTCAACTTTCTCAAATTGCTTCCTAAGAAGGCAAACTCCCAGTGATTTTTATCACCCAGTTTGGCAATTTGAGAAGTGAGCATTGAGCACTGGTATCTTTTCATTGTTATAAAGTATACTTTCCTGTTCCTAGTGAGACTGAACATATTTCACATGCTTGTAAATGTTCTTGATCCCTTACCTTTGCTTTTTGGTGTACTGGGGATTGAACTGAAGGCCTCCTGCTTGCTAGGCAAGCCCATACCATTTGAGGCAGGTCCCCAGTCCTTTCTTTGCCTCTCTTTAGTTTGTTTTTTCAGACAGGGTCTTGGGCTAACTTTGACTGGGCTAATCTTCAACTGTAATCTCCCACCTCTGCCCAAGGAGTAGTTGGGACCACAGGCATGCACTATCGTGCCTTACTTGGCTTATTTTTCAGATAGGGTAATTGCTAACGTTGCCTGGGCTGACAAAATCCCACTTCCCAAGTAGCTGAGATTACAGATATGTGCCTCCATGCCCGGTCCCTTACCTCTTTTGTTTGTTTGAAGTTTTCATTACTGATTTACAAGATCTCTTTGTATACCAAAAATACTACCTCTGTCATATTTCTTGAAAATATTTTACCTGATTTATAGAAGCTTTTATTATGCTGATAATATAATATATATATATATATATATGTATAATTATGCTGATAGAGATGAATATGTATGTTCAGTACTGGGGAATGAATGCAGGGCCTCACACTTGCTAAGCAACAGCTTTGCCACTTGAGCTGTGCCCCAGACCTTTTGCTTTTTTTTTCAAGTTTGTTTTTTGAGAGAGAATCTTGCTAACTTTTTGCTCATGATAGCCTTGAACCATGACTCTGATGAGTAACTATGATTCTGGGTGTGCACGACCACACCCAGCCTATGCTGGTATTTCATTTGTACCAAATTTTACATTTTTATATAGTCAAATCTTTTCCTTAAGATTCATTTTTTCCTGTTGTATTTAGAAAAGCCTTCTCCATTAAGCACAATTAAGTATTCCCTACATTTTCTTTGGTATCTGTGTTTTCATTGTTTCCATTTAACTTTGTCCAGACAGCAAAATATAAGGCAGAAAATACAAATGAGGTAAATTGACCATTGCAGTAAAATATATTCTTCACTTTTTAAAATGCAACTTGTATCTGCCTTCTCAATTCTTATCAACTCAAATCACTGCTGTGTTTGATACAGCTTGTGTTTGATAGACTGAAACCTGCAGAGTTCGTGTTCTAATCCTGTCCTGGGAAGAAACTGTTTTAAGAGCCTCAATTCAGCTATGGGTGAAATATGGCTATAATCATGTCACCCATATCCTCATGACTACTGTTCCTGCAGTGACTCTGGCACCACATACCCAAGACGACTTTTTTAACTTCTGCCATATCAGCTTCATCCACAGGGTTGGACTTTTGCTCCAGCTTCCTCCTTGGTATTGGATTTTCCTGATGCAACTGAATTCCTGCCTTTGAGCCTCCCTCATTCTTGTAATAGCTTTTGCTCCAGGAAGCTGGATTTTAACTCTTAGCAATGGACACAGCTCTTGGAACTCAGCACTCTTTCCTGCTTGAACCTGACCATGTTTTATTCCCTGAATTTCCTCCTCTCAGCCCTGCTCATCATACTGTATCTCTTTATCAAAACTTGTGGGAACCAGCTGGGGGCATGGCTCAAGTGGCAGAGCACCTGCTTAGCAAGTACAGAGCTGAGTTCAAACCCCAGCATTGTTAACAAACAAACACACACACAAACCTCAATTCTTACCCTTGATTATTGTGCCCTTACTGTGGTCCACCAGTGGGTAACACACCTGATGTCCAGGTTGCTACTCAGATTACGATTTCAACACACCCATAGAAAATGCTATGACACAGTATAGGTGAAAATGCAGGATATAAAACATGACTATATTATGTAGAACACACCCATATATCTCAACAAGACCGGAATAGACCAAGAAGGAATTACCAGAAATTGGGGTATAAACTTCTTTGTGTGTTAGTATTTTGTTCCATAAATGTTATGGAAACAGTAGCAAGAGGCCCTTTTCTGCCTTTATTATTATTTTTTAAGCTGCTATTTGTGTGGAGTGAACTATATATAATGATCTCACAATTACCCTTAGAAGAGCAAAGGCCTTTGTCTCTTTTATGATAAAGGCAGCAAAATGGACATTCCTGATTGCCTCTCTGGCCACTCTTTTCTTTGTAATCCCTCACCTATTTCTATTTTAGCCAGAAGTGGTACATTACTCTTTAAGGAGAACTTGGTGACCAGTGGCTCTGATGTATGCAACGGAGGGAGCCCTGGAGTCCCATTCTTGATGACTTTTCAGTGTCAACCAACTATAGTTCTCTGTTGATGTAGGATCTCTCTGGACTTGTTTTTTGATCAGCCTCTTTAGAAAGGGAAGCAGGAAAGATCTCCTGCCCCCTTTGAGCTCTTACAGAATTCATGGCTTATTGATCAGTTTGTCATTGATCACAGACTCTCTTGTATTGATAACTTTTGCTATCTGTTCCTTCATTCTCCCTAACCAGACAGAGCTGTGCCCTGTGTGGCCCAGGGCGTACCTCAGCAACCTTGACTGGTTCACAAGCCAGGTGGGTTGAAACTTGTTTCCCTGGCTGCCCATGTCCCTACTATGTAGTCCTTGCCCTCTGCTTGTCAGCTCTTAGGAAGTACACAATGCCCTCTCTAGAGTGGACCTGCTGGCAGTGACAACCAGAGATACGTAGAGCCCAACCTGCAGAGGGTCTTTCTCTCACATCCAGCTGTGAGTGGCCCTGGACTGGGGCCATAGGAGGACAGCCTTCCTAATGTTAACACAAATGAACCACACTGTAAGGACAGTCTTCTCTCTTTTCATCCAACTAGGATTCAGAGAGAACTGTAAAGCACAATTTTCACTGGAGGAATTGGAGAATGGAGTTTGCCCTTCCAATCTGTGCGCAATCTGGTAACAACTAAAAACAAATGTTAGCGGTTATAATTACCGTCATTTTGTCTCCAGGCTTGGATCACATTCCAGGTGTTATAGGAGACGATTCATTTCCTTTCCTTCTCCTCTGAG